AGAAGTCTCCTCCCTAGAAATCTCTAGGTCCTCCAGCATTACTCCGGGAAGTTGATAATAGAATCACACTGCATGACCTAGAGATTTTTAAAATTCAAATCGGTAAATAATCAAATGAATAAAAGTCAAAACAGCAAGTGTGGAGGGACAACTGAATTTTCTTTATATTCTGTGGGTGGAAGGACCCTTGGTGCTGCTCTGAGAATCTGGTTTGACTGTAGATGCCACAGGCAGAAAGTAGTCAGGTGGATGTTCTGGAGCAATAGATAGCTGGCTCCCCAAAGAGCCCTGTCCCTGCTGCTCCCTGCTCCAGAAAGCCCTATTGCCCTCTGACTGCAGCAGGAAACAGCTGGCAATGTTTACACATTGCAAGGTCTCCAGAGCCCAACTGTACCCAAGTGACTTGTTCTGAGGAGGCTTTCAGAGCAAGGTGTTTTGAATGGGATTGGTAAGGTGATCGCTCAAATGGTATAGGTGGCAGAAGTACGATGCCTGCGGGGGGGAAAGTATAGAGATCCTCTGGGTGAACAGATAGATCCACAAAATATCTGAAAACTCAGAAATAGATAGAGTAGCTAAGTCTGTTGTATGTTTGAGAAAGAGTAGGAATAAGATGACTGCTGCTAATTTGGAACATTGAATTTCGCTCACAATTAAGGAGTTGAGAAGGTGAAAAAATGTATAAAGATAGTTGTAGTTAATATATTGTTAAAATATACATCTATAATAGAAAAGCAGAAAGTTATCTTTTTATGTATAAGTGCTTGTATCTGTTGTTTGTGTGTGTGTGTGTTTTACTTTGAGGTATTTTTTCCTTTTGCCTTCACAGTTGTATTGTTAATACAATGTTTAAATGAAATTTAATAAAGACGATTATTGCTGGCTTCAGTGAGAACAATTAGAAAAAAATTCCTAATGAAATAGGGGTTCTTTTTTAAATTTGTAAAATATTTCTAGGACAAGGTTTTGCTTGCTCAGAATGACAGGTACTGTGTTGTATGAAGATTTATGTGTCACACCATCTAAAGTTTTAGAATAATAATTCCTATACGCCCATTAGACTATTAGACACCATACACCCACAATGTCTACTCTGATTTGCATTAACTCATCAAGCATTTTGTGTTTTTCTTCGCTCCGCTACCCACCTGAGATCGTTTTAACTAGAGTTGTAAGGCTTTGCACCTGGAAGTTTCTGTTTTCAAAGTATCTACCCAGACACTAACATATGGCTGTTCTCTTAATAGCAGAGCTGTTCCTATCGTATGTGGAAAATTCAAGAGTTATGCAAATCAATAAACAGAAGCCCCCACCCCACCAATGCTGAATTACATTATAGAAAACTCAGACATTGTGTTCAGCATTCAGAGAGGAATGGCCAGGAGCAATTTAGTAGCAGGAAAGTAAACACTAGCAGAGTATTAAGAGGACTGAGAGAGCATGCGATGGAAAAGGGAGACACTCTAAATTAGTGATTCCCAATCTTTTTTAAATCACGGACCACTTTTGACTGAGGACCACTTTGATTAGGGACCACTCCAACATTAGTACCAAAAGGGTTACAAATCAGTTTTTGGCCAACTTTAAATTTGGTTTGTTTATTTGGGATGCTGATTCAGAAAACTGTATTGGATAGACCACATCAGCTCTAGTTTCTGATACAGAACATATGCCATTCAGTAGTCACCATCTGCTCGCCCATAGAATACCATATTTAATAAGCCTCGGCACTATAAGAGGGTTCCGCAAGACCAGTCACGATGTAGTAATGGTGAGGCCACAGACCATATTTTAGTTCTTGCGGACCACGGATTGGGATCCATTGCTCTAAATGGTTCTTCAATCTTTAGACATCATCTCACAGTTTCAGAGCAATTCTCCTGAAATGTATGAATAACATAGCTAGAGGACAGTACAGCAATAGTTGGAAAACCTGCTAGTAAGTACTGAGAAGTTTCCTAGTAACAAATAGTGCCAGCGGCCCCATGTACACTGACCATTTAATGCACTTTAAAGCTAGATTCAAACTGTGGCAGCCAAACAACAAACTTGCAGAAAAGAAAGCCCTTAATGCACAACAGTGCTCTCTGGTTTGTGTAATCACCATCCAGGCCGCAAACTGGTTCCAGGATTTCCTATGTAATCATCTGCACAGCAAAACTGCTTTCTTTAATACCTGTTGGAAAGCGCATTAAATTACCAGTGTAGATGGGACCAAAATCCCAATTTATTTATTTATTTATTTATTTGCTTTATTTCTATACCGCATTTTTCAGCCCAAACAGGCGACTCAATGCTGGGCACTCCATCCTCTTGCCTGTTCAGTTTGCTCATAACTAGTTGTGCATCAACTGGTTCTAAGAAGAGAACCAGATCCATTGAGGAAGAGAAATGAAATTTTCTCTGTGTAAAACTGTACCAGAATTATCTATTGTTCTCAACTGGTTATTTTCTTTCTTCCCACCATGATGTGTATAGCCTGTATGTAGTCTTTGCAGGCAGAATCAGTTATGCAATTTCTTCATTTGTTTAAACGCCGTCATTTCCAGGGTAGGGTTTAAGATTCCTTCCCACAGGGATTGCAATTCTTTGTGCGTTATTGCTCCCTGCTCTGCTTATAAGTAAACCGTTCTTTCTCTCTATGATTATAAGCTGTGCTGCTTTAGTTAGGGGCCACAAGGGATATGGCTGGCCTGCTGCCCCATTTATATCCAGTGAGAGTACTTAAGATAATCTATCTCTATCTCCTTGTAAAGTTGATCTTATGTCTTGCACATTGGGTGGGTTCATTACTCTGTGGTCAAAGCACATGCTTTTTATACCGAAGGTCTGAATTTGGGACCTTTTATAGAAAAAAAGCGTGTCATTTATCCTTGTCATCTCCAGGTAGGACTGAGAATGGCCCTGCTTTGGAACTCTGAGGAGCTGTTGCCAGCTTATGTTGACACTTTTAAATCAGATTAATTAATAATCTGATTCAGGGTTGCTCCTACACTGTAGAATTAACACTGTTTGACATCACTTTAGCTGCCATGGTTCAGTGTAATGGAAGCAAGGCCGTTGTAGTATTGCAAGGTTTTTAGCCTTCTCTGCCAAAGAGTGTTGGTGCCTCAACAAGCTACAATTCCCAAGATTCCATAGTATTGAGTCATGGCAGTTAAAGTGGTATCAAACTACATTAACTCTACAGTGTAGGTGCATCCTCAGTCCGAGGTAGCTCCCTCTGTTCTGTTGTGCAGTGGATTGGAAAGAAGTTGAATCGGTATACATCTCAATCAGGACCATTCTTTTCTGACTTTCACATTGCCAAGCAACTGAGAATTTACCAAAGATTCATGCTTCTTTTTGTTGTTTCTGGCAACCACAGGTGGAATGTAAACTATACTTGTGGTCTACAGGCTTCACTTTTTTTTTTTTGAGGAATACCAAAATGGAACCGTTTTCTCATCTTTCTGCTTCACTAAATTGAAAATGTGTGACTGTTTCCAATCTCGGCTCATCTGTACCATGATCCGTAGACATGGCTGCCTTGGTAAAAGCCTCACGTCCTGTTCCTTCTCAGGCCAACATATTGTTTCAGCTGCTGCCTGTGTCACCCCAGTTCATTGAAGTGAATTGTCCTTCAAATCTGGTATTGTTGTAAATGTCTAGAAGGACAATGCTATGTCAGCAACCACCCCCTTCCAGATTCTTATCTAATCTTTGCTTTGCAAGGCGTATACAAAATACACAACTTCCTGTTCTGTGAAGGAAGTGCAGCCTGGTTTCTAGTCGGGGAAAAATCAGTTTCGCAAAGGATGTCCAAAAGCAAATCTCAGTTCTGTTGCATCAGACTTGCCTTGGTTGGTGTTAGACCTTCACTGAGATTTCATGGGGCAAACCTACAGCTATATCTAGACCTGTTCTCCTGATGGCTCTTCTACCCATCTACACAGAACTGCCTAGCAGTTACATGGAAATGCAGGGTACTTGGAGGTGGTCTGGAAGTGAGTATTGTTCTATTGCTTTCATGACCATGTGCAGAGTTATGAAATATATTTCCTTTTGGTAATGAGTTTCTGATAGAATGAGTAATGGTAACTGGGTGGGAAGAGATAATTATTTTTGCCTCTTTTAATGCTTTTTAGTTTTGCTGTTTTAATTCTGGCTCATTTTTAAGAGACTTCATCCAGGCTCTGTTGGGACTTGAGGCCATTCCATTATTTACCCTTTAAGCTGAGAAAATGCAGTTTGATACCACTTTAACTGCCATGGCTCAATGCTATGGAGTCCTGGGAATTGTAGTTTTACAAGGTCTTTAGTCTTCTCTGCCAAAGAGTGCTGGTTACTCACCACACTGCAATAATTCCATAGCACTGAGCCATGGCAGTTAAAGTGGTGTCAAACTGCATTGATAGAGTGTCGATTCAGCCAATGACTGTTCCATCCTTTTCCTGTCTTTCCTCTATTGCAATAGTTCCCACCCACCCACCCCTTTTTTTTTTTTTGACCAGGGAACCACTTTGACCAGGAACCACTCTCCAACATTAGTACCAAAGGATTAGGAATCAGTTTTTGGTCAACTTTAGACTCGGTTTGGGGTGCTGATTTAGAAAATTGCATTGGTAGACTATTTCTGATACAGAACATATACCATGGTCAGCTACAGGGAAGGTATGGCAGGCAGTGCGAAAGGAACAGAAATAAAATAAATAAAGAGGAAGGAGACTTGCGCACCAGATTTTCATCCTCGTGGACCTTGGCCCACAGGTTAAGAACCATTTCTCTATTGGTACTGACTCCCGTTGCCAATTCAGCTTGATGAGCCTTAAATAAAATTACAGTACTTTAATTTAGGATCTAATCCTATATGAAGGAACCAGCCTAACTTGAATGCTGAGGAGGAACTGGCAAAATATTCTGCCATATTGCATAGGTGCCTTGTTTGGCAAAGGGTGCTTATGGAATGTGTTTTTCTGGCTTTCAGCTACAAGAACAAATTTAATCTTTTGTTGTTTCAGCTATCTCACTTATTAACTTACTCTGCAAATGAACTTCCTGTTTGCAGACCCCAACGTTATTAGTCCTTGAGACTGCTAATCTCCTTTTCTAGTACAACTCAGGACAACCAGAGGACTGATACAATCCATTTGGCCCCACATGCTATGTAAGTCGCATGTTCTATTTGTTTTTCCATGAGCCATGAGAAAAAGTGATTTGTGTTTGCAAAGAATTTTGGCTCTTTGTTCATGACTAAGGCAAGGAAACGTATTTAAATTATCTGATGTAGAAGTATCTAGATCAGTTATTTTTATGGACTGCTCCTTGGAAGTTTTCCTTGTAGGTCTTGAAAGCTGGTTGGTTTTGTGAATATGAGCCAGTTGTTGGTATAGCTCCTATGTATTCAGTTCTGCTGTTGTTGTTTATTCATTCAGTCAGTCGCTTGCGACTTTTTGTGACCTCATGGACCAGCCCACGCCAGAGCTCCCTGTTGGCCGTCACCACCCCCAGCTCCTTTAGAGTCAAGTCAGTCACTTCAAGGATGTCATCCATCCATCTTGCCCTTGGTCGGCCCCTCTTCCTTTTTCCTTCCAT